CTGTAATTCAGTCTGAGCTGATAATAATTCCCAATTCTTTTACTGCACAAGGTCCACACCTGGATGGGCCATTTTCCTTCTGCCTCATATGTATTATTTTTTCCCTGAGTAGTTATTTTTTTTAATATTTATTTTTTAGGTGTAGATGGTGATGAGGATTGAACCCGGGTCCCCCCCATGCTAGGCGAGTGCTCTACCGCTGAGCCACAATCCCAGCACCCCCCCTGAGTAGTTTAAGGCTTTGTGTTTAATCCAATTTCTCTAATTTACGAAGGTCATTTTAAATCTTTGTGTATTTTTTCAGGCTACAGTTAACTTTATTGGTTGAGGGCCATCTACTGCATAAAGAAGGACACTTACTCTTGGGATTTGTCCACAAGCCTGTACTTTTGGCCTTTGACTTGACAGAAGATCCTTCAGTGGTGGGCAAATCGGGATGAAGCAGACACAGCGATCCTGCCAAACTGTGGTCTTCCCAGAACGTTGGAAATCTCCATTTGGTCATTATTTTTAGGATTTTTCTATAACAGTGACAATCTAGTAGGCTATGGGCCTATGGCAATGACTTGCTCTTCCTGGGATGGCTACTGTCTCCAGAGACAATAGGGTTTGCAGAATCAGCCTCATGGAGCCATGGTGAAGAGCTCAGCTTCCAGGGTCTGGATCTTGGGTTCAAATCCTGCTTTGGCACTTGAAGCCGCACAAACGCAGGGATATGAGCTGGCCTTTCATTTCTATGAGCAGATGCTTTTTTGTTTTGATGAGATCCAATTAAGATCTTCTTGTATACATGTTTGTGACCCCCCGTAAGAGATTTTTGTCCCATCCAGGCTGCGAAGAGACCATCCTGTGTTTTTGGCAGGTGCTTCATGGCTGTACCTTCTATACTGAGGTCTCTCATCCTTCTCAGCTGTGGGCACATGAAATTCCCTTTCCCGCCAGTAGCTGTTCCTGCAACTTTGGTTGAAAGACTTGGCTTTCCGCATTCAACTGCTTCTGTGTCTTGTGGAAAAATCAATTGACCACATGTGTGTGGTCTGTTCCTAGATTGTTTCATTCCATTGATTTGTCTGCCCTTATATCTTAAATTACTTTAGTTTTATAATAAATCTTAAAATCAGGGACTGGAAGGTTGCCATCTTGTTCTTCTTTCCAGATTGTTTGGCTACCTAAGTCCTTTGCTTTTCTATAAAAATTTTAGAATCAACCTGTAAAACTATTTTCTACAAAAATGTCCTATTGGCCTTTTGATGGAGATTGTGCTGAATCCACAGATCAGTAAAAGAGCAACTGAGATACCAATATTGTCAAGTTTTCCAGTTCCTGAACTTCTCTCCATCTGGTTAGGTCTTAAATTGCTCTCGTCAATGTGTTGTAGTTTCTATAGTTTCTAAGTCTTGTATGTCTTTTGCTAAATTTATTAAGCATTTTATATTTTTATGTCATGGTAAATGGAGTTACTTTTTAAATTTCATTTTCCAATTGCTTATTCCTAATAAATTGGCACGCAATAGATTTCTGGATATTCACCTTGATAAATTATTGATTCAAACAGCTCTTTATTAGAGCCTTAGGACTTTCTCTAGCAATCAACTCTCTCAATCTTTGTGTATGATTATTTCCTTTTCTTGTCTTATGGCACTGACTATGATCTCAAGTAAAATGTTGAATAGAGATAGCAAGAGGAGTCAATACCAATAAATTCTTGACCTTAAAACTCCAAGTTTTACCTCTGACTATGATAAAAGCAATAGGTTTTTCTTTTCTTCTTTAATAGATATCCATCCCTTCTAGTCTTAATTTGCTGAAAGTTTAAAAATTTTTCTTTTACATTCATTTGTGGGTGCTACGTTTTGTCAAATGATTTTTTTTTTGGTATCTATTTAGATTTCTTCTCCTTTATTCTATTAGTACAGCACATTACACTGATTGACTTTCTAATAATAAACCAACCATGCACTCTAGTAATAAAGCCTACTTAGTCATCATGAATCATATCCTTTTTGTAAATTGTGGGGATAGATGTGCTATGAATTTCTGCTACCATGTCTATGAGGGGTCCTGGAGTATAATTTGCCCACACAGTTTGAGTCAGGTGCCTATCCTAGTGCCTGTGTTTGTTATGTCCAATTTCCTTTGCTCTGTTTCTCCCTTTCGGCCCCCTTAATTGATGCTCTGTGGCTCAGGCTCTCTTTCCCTGATCCATCTTCTGAGATCTACACACTCCTTGTTCTGTTTACCTGGCTGCAGCCTCGATTGCTCTGACCTTTAAGGATATGGGAAGAGTCATCCCCACTCCCTGTCATCCCTCCCCCATTCGTATATTTGAAGTCCTAACCTCTAGGACCTTAAAGTGTGATCTTATTTGGGATGAGGGCCTCATAGAGGTAGTTAGGTTAAAATGAGATCATTAGGATGGGGTCTGATCCCATATGACTGTGTTCTCATGAAGAGGGACACAGAGACAGACATGCCCAGAGAGAAGAGGATGTGTTTAAGCCAAGGACCAAGGGCAGAAGCACATTCTTCCTTTACAGCTCTCTGAAGGAACCAACACCAGAACCATGACAAAATAAACTGTCACGTAGCCACCTGGATGGGTGTGTTTTGTTATGGTAGCCCTAGCAAMGGAGTTCACTTATATTTACTACCTAACACATGATCTCATCTCAGTATTTGTTCTTTTTTTGGTGGGGGAGGAGGGGTGGGTACTGGGGATTGAACTCAGGGGCACTCACCACTGAGCCGCATCCCCAGTCCTATTTTGTTATTTTTTTTTAGAGACAGGGTCTCTTGGGCTGGGGCTATAGCTCAGTGGCAGAGTGCTTGCCTCGTATGTGTGAGGCACTGGGTTCAATCCTCAGCACCACATAAAAGTAAAATAAAAAATAGAGACAGGGTCTCACTGAGCTGCTTCGTGCCTCWTTTTTYYTYTYYTTTYTYTTTTTTTGCTGAGGCAGGCTTTAACTCAAGATCCTCCTGCCTCAGCTTCCTGAGCCACTGGGATGACAGGTGCACGCCACTGCGACTGACTCAGTAATTGTTCTTGATTCTGATTCTTGGCTTAGTTTTGTCTCTTAAGACCCCTGTCTCCCTCAGGATGGTAAATGGGTAAAAATCAGAAGGTGTATGTCCTAATTTATCCTTGAAGYTGAACAACTCTTCCGATCCTCAAAAGCTCAGGTGGGGTGCAGTGTGTGAGAACATCCCCGTCACGTGCAAGTCAGGCATCCTGAGTCCTACACATTCAGAACAGCTGCTCTTCCTGCCCAAGAACAGAACCCCCGTGAGAGGGTTCTGACAGATCCCAAGTTCAGAATTCCCCACTTCTAAGAGATATCCCTGCCACCCCAGACTTCATTTCTGTCATTTCTTGTTCAGGAGGAGAGGCCGGTGACCAAGGAGCCTCTTGGCTCAGAGGGGGGGCACGTGAGGTGTTGTTCCAGGCTTCCACCATCTTTACATCTCCAGAAAATTTAACAGTGATTCCTCGGACAACTTACTTACTTTTACACATGTTAGAAGAAATAAAGTTTGGAGCAATGGAAAGAAATTCTTTTAGGGAATGAGCACTTCAGAAACACACAAGGGAAGGAGAACTTTAACGACCCACCAAACTACATTAACAAAATTGGTGTCCACCGAAGGTGGCTTTAAACCACGTAAAATGAAATGTAGTTCTCTAGCAGCTTTCCAACATATTTTTTCTGTTCCTTTGTCTGTAAGATAATTTTGTTGCTGAGAATTAGGAAAATTGCTGTTTCTGTAATAATTAATGCTCTTATTAAACAATTTATAAAAATGTAACTCACTCCCAAATAGCTCACATTCTAATTGTATATTCGTATCCTGTCTAAACGTTACTCAAAAAACTAAGTTTTTCAGTAATTCCTCTCTTTCCAGTTCTCTAGAATGCCTCCAGATGGCATTAAAACCCTTTCCCCCATTCCCCACCCCCCCTTTTTTGGCGGCAGCAGAAAAAAAATTAAAAATTAGCATTATTTTAACCATTTAAGGCCAGTTACATTCATGAGCACATCAGAAACCACAACAATGGATTGGTTTGTAAATTTTAGGAAAATAACAAACATGAAATTGTATCCATTATGAAATATATAGCCACCCTGTGCAAAGCAAAGAAACAGGTATTGGTCAAGGCAAGACACTCCATGAGATACCACCAACTGTGACTGCTAATGAATAGCACTTTAAAAGCTTAGCCACAAGAGCCCCGCTCCACAGATTTCATTCACAAAGCCTGCCTTATAATAACAAGACGCACTTCATTCCTCAAAAGTGATAAAAATGAAGACTCATTAGAAGCAAACCTGTTGCCAATTCCTGCGGAGCTAGAACAAACTCATTTGTTAGCTTGTGAGTTATTTTATTTAAGTGTTGGTGTATCAACTTGGCATCCAATGAATCATCAAAAACATATTTGGGTTCCATGAATACTGATAGTAAAAAGATAAAATAGAGGAACACATGTTTTAGAAGTGCCCTTTCTTATATTTTAAAAACTGCTCTGTTAACTTAAGAACATAACAAACTTTTGCAATTCCAGAGAGAACTATAATTGTAATCCTCCCCACTCCTCATGATCCAGAGGTGAGATTGCAGATGGCAGGCTTTTAAAATGACATGAAATCTTCACGGGTGTGTGGGGCAGAAGGTCCCCCAGTATTTGTGAGAGCTTCTTCAAGTCTTCTCACCAAATTCTAAAGGGCTCACCTCCCTTCTCCCTGTGCACAGCCTCGATCTCATTCGATTTCTGCTTCATAAAGAGGAGCATTTGCGTTTTCAAGTTTCCTCTTATGATGCTAAAGTATTAAGACCTCAAAATGCATCTGTACCCAAAAGCATTTAAAGAGACATTATCATGAGAAAAGAGAACCATCCCTGCGTCCTGGTCACCACTATTACAAGGTACAAGCACTGTTCCATTTATAAGGCAAATTAAAGGACAGTTATCTAGGACAGAAACAAAAAAAGAGACTTACGATGTATTCGAAGTGCCATTGTCTGGACTCTCTGGCTCAGCATCACCTTTCTCTTAAAAAGGAAGTAGGGGAAAAAAAAAAACCGACATGTGAGTCGTGCAGTCTTAAGATTTAAGAGAGACTAAATATTTCTATGGTCCTATTAACAATCTTTCAAAATGTGCAGCAGGAGGCCTTTAAAACATTTTTTATTGTCTGAGAGCTGGATCCGCAAAATAATTTCGTCTTTGCAATGCAATTGCCCAGGCACCAATCTGTGGGTAGGTACTAAGGAGCTATTTGCAAACAACCAGAGGCGCAGGCTGGAGACCTTGCCAAGAGATGGATATCTTACAGATGGAATCGGTTTCTTTCCACTTCATTTTACAGAAAATTTAAAGAAAATAAACCCATTAGCATTCAACATCCAAGGCACTTTGAACTTTGATCCCTCCTGCTAACATAAGCCAAATGGGGTCTGGCTGAAACAGAACCTGGATGAGAGAACTTCACAGAACACTGAGGTTGCAGTCACGAGACCCCCAAGAATTATACCCCACGGAGGATTACACTCCTGGCAGCAGGTTGTGGGGCTCACAAGTTAGAGCCAGATAAGATGTAAACCAGAAATCCTTCCTGCCCATCTGAGAGGATGGAGAAAGAAAGGTTTCTGAGGGACGTGGCCTTCGGGGACTTGACGGATTTTAGTTAGGGGAGCCTGGGACTAGTTCACTCTTGGTAGTTTTAAAGTCAGATGCAACAGGACTAATGTAATTCCCCATCCTGGCCCCATGGGGGGTTTGAAATATGCATCTTCACATTGTAAAGAGCCTCTATGGGTGTCCTTGAGGTTGGGGTGGGAAGAAGGGTCCTTTGTGCCTAAGAGTAACTTGCCTGTGGCTGCTGATGGCTCTGCAGCGCCCATGGCTGAATGAACCCAGAGACTTGCGAGCTGCAGAAGGGGCCTGTGGGTGGCCACTTGGCCTTGCTGTGCTCTCTCAGGTCAGCCTGGACACCTCTAGGATCCCCCATTCTACCATGCAGGCCCTCAGACCTCTGCAGGTACCAAGCTCCATGTGCCACCTATTGACCTCTTAGGAATGACCCCTCATGGAGCCCGGGGAGATTGCCCAAATGGCTCTGAATCAATCGTCACATTTTCTTCTCTTTTTCTTACAGGACAGCAAGCCGTTGGGAGGAAAGGAAGACGCATTCCATAGAGCTCATACATCTGTCTCTGATTTGATTTTCACTGTGTCTCTCTAGATGGTGCAGGGCACCCACCAGGGACAGTCACTAGGTCCAAATCCAGTCGTCCAGGGAAAAAAAACACAAATAAATCTACCAAATCTGTGATGATAATAAACATGGAGTAGTCAGGGCCTTAATCCATGTAATACCCGGTTAGACTAGCCAGGACCCTAATCCATATGAAACCACATGAATACTTATGTATTTCACCTTGACATAAAGCAAAGGCAACACATTAATAAGCTTGCTTGAACACTCCTACTTTGATACTGTCTTTGGCCTTTCAAGCAGAGCTGTGATGTGCTCCTGTAGGGGACATGTAAGGCCCGGTCAACTGGCTTCTGTGCTGGAAAATATCCTAGTCTGGTACTTTCCAGAATCACTTTTCCCCTAAGCAACCATTGTTCCTGCCATAACCCCAAAATAGAGAGTCAGAAACATCTACATTAGGTAGGAAAAATCTAAATGAAGGTGATATTTTCCCTCAAAAACATAGATTCATCCTTCTTCCTTCCCCTTTAATCTGGAGAAACTGGTTCTGTTCCCCAGGGCCTGGCTGCCTGCGGTCCTATCTTGCACCATTATAATAAAGAATGTAAAGCAGCAGGCGAGAGTAAACATTTCCAAACGATTTATGTCAGAAAACAGGGAAACAATAATACCCACGCAGGCCTTGCTTGGATGTTTGAAGAAACACGTTTTACCTCGACCCATACTGCTGCCACAGAACCCCACAGGTGGAGGGGCCGCAGGCTGTACTGCTCATTGGATCTGGGGGCTGCAGGAGTCACGGGCTGGTCTCAGCACAGGGACAAAGCTGCAGCTGATTATCTCTGCTCTTAGCAGCACTTATGTTGTGGCAACAGGGAAAACAAATAGGTTTTGGCACACAGGAAGGATGCCACGGGGCCAAACGGGACATTTAGGAACAGCCTGAGTGGGGGTGCTCTGAGCCACTTTAGGGCTGATAATGAATTAAACTTTTTTGGGGAAAAGTAAGCTTGGGATTAAAAGAGGGATTTTAACTATTTTTTGTCCTACACACACACACACACACACACACACACACACACACACACGTTGCAAAACCCCACTCCATATCTTGAAATCTTAGGTGATGCAATTTTTGAAGTTAATCTGCAATGTGTAAAGCCATTAGCCATCGAGAAACACAGGCACCCAAGGGAAATGATGCTGAAGATGGCTGGAGGTGCTCAGCGTGAGAATTTTTTAGGTGGGAGCTCAGGAGATGTTTCCTTGCATCCCCAAAGGGGACTGTTTGGGGTAATCCTGTTTATATCAAATGCTGTCATGATGGATACTACCATGTTGGTCTCTCTGGAAGGGAGCCTGCATGGATCATTAACAGGTTGGGCATAAGGGGCTGGCAGGGGGCAGTGTGGTCATTTGCATGTGGAAATACAATGCAGAGAGGAAGGAGAGATGGGCCATGGTGAGAGGGACCCCATAGATACATGCAAATGTATCTACATGTACCCGTGTATGTATACAGGTCCCTGATGCCTATATTTCAACTTGTCTTTTAATATAGAACCACATGCTCACGTAGAAGAGGCTGGCCTGGGGGTGTAGCTCAGGGGTAGAGTATGTGCTTAGCATACACAGGTCCTGGTTTCCATACCCAACACTACAGGAAATAAAAGAAAAAGCAGAAGAGGGTTAAGGTTTCTTTGCTACTGAGATGGATATAGTCTGAGGAATGAAACCTCTTGATGGTTCCAAAAGGTCACTGAAAAAAAATCACAATAGCTCTCCTTCTAATTCAATAAATGTGCTGAGGTTGTATAGACCTGGTACTCTGCCTGGTAAGCCTAAAGATAAGTGATATGTAATCCATACTCTCTGATCACTTAAACTGACTGCTCTGCTGGGGTAGCTTGTTGCCCATTAGCAGTTCATACGATGTGGACCAGAGATGAGGTCTGAAAATGGAATCGAAAAATAGACATGCAGTATGCTAAGTTGTACCACAGAGGAGGATCTGCCTAGGTACAACTTTTCTTTATCATTCTATTAAAAGTAATCCATGCTTTTGTTGGAAAAAAATATGAATACTGGGGAAAAGGTACATCTTTTTTCTAGATACAACAACTTTATACAGTACCTAATAATTTCTGAAATGAAAAACATGAGATATTTAATACACTACCCCTGCCCCTAAAATTTTACTAATTCTATTATTACTTTTAACATCTATATTATGTATTTGTAACTTTAAATACATTGAATCTTCATTGACTTGATTCATCAACTTGGGATAGCATCTTTTCTATTGCTTTGACACAAAGGAAGAAAACTCATTCCTTTATTCTTTCCTCTCAAGTTTCCTTTCTTTTTTTTCTCTCTCTCTCAACCTGAAACATCTACACTTTTCCTTTTACCATTGCAAAGGTTTAAAATATTCATATTAGGTTCAGTAATTATTAATGAGGCATCCTCATTAATATTAATTAGTTAATCACTTAGTTTCTGGACTTGCCTATAGGTCGATGATAGAAACTATAAACCAATGACCCAAATTTACTGTATCATAATATAAACAGTAGTTACTAAGGGACAAAGTGGCATGAGTGGATTTGCACAGAAGGAAATGCCACAGAGGGGGAATGGAGGCAAGGACGCCCAGTTTTCATGTCCAATGGATTCTCATTCTTACCTTCTCTCACACTTGGTCTGTCTCAAGAAAAGGCTAAGCCTGTCCTAAAAGACTGTGTGTGTGAAAATGTACCTGTGCCTGAAATGTATATAGACAGTTTAAGAAAATTAAAATGAGTCAACTGTGACTATACCTTCTAGTCCAGGAAACAAAACATCATCAAAAAGTAACCCAGGCAGGCGGGGTGGCCCACACCTGTAATCCCAGTGGCTCGGGAAGCAGAGGCAGGAGGATCACAAGTTCAAAGCCAGCCTCAGCTAATGCGAGGCACTAAGCAACTCAGTGAGACCCTGTCTCAAAGTAAAAAATAGAAAGGGCTGCGGATGGGGCTCAGTGGTAGAGCACCCCTGGGTTCAATCCCTGGTACCAAAAACCAAGAAACCCAAAACCAAACAAACACAAAAACTGCATCCTGGCCCGGCCCCTGCCAACTGGAACTCTTGTGTCAATCATTCCCTACCTTTTCTGCACAGCTTTCAAAACCCCTGTGTGCACTTTCTGGTTATTGCTGTTTCTAAACTTTAATCTCCTATTACACTTGGAATCACTTCTATTATACATGGACTCACACTGCACATGTTCTATTAAGACACATCCACACACACTCCAGTGATAGCCAAATACTTTTTTCTAACAATAACATAGAATGAAATTTCATTAGGGTGTTTGCCTGTCTCTGAGTTTTAATGAGATACATATTTTGTACCTGTTTTTTGTGTCATTTATTTAAAAAACATTTTTTAGTATTTTTTTTTATCCATAGAAGCATTTTATTGTTTCAATACAAATAATAAATTTGTATCATAATAAACACAAATCACAAACACAAAATAAAATAACTATTCCCAGGGTTCCCAGTGTTAGCTTTTTATTTTATTTTTTTCTGATATCTTTGGATGAACTATAAGTTTATAATTTCAATGTATTTATCTTTATCAATATTTTTCAATCAATGTATTTATCTTTATCAATATCATTCCATATCAAATATTCTGGAATAAGCATTTTAGGCTATAAATTTCTCTCTGATTTACTTTCATTCCCCAGTTTTAACACTAGGTGTTTACGTTACCTTTTAATTGCAAATGTTCACTAATATCTGAAGTACTTCTTTTTTTCTAAACCTCTGTTTTCATTCCTAGTCATTCTTTGTTTTTTCCCCCTAAATTTTATGAATCTTCAATTTTCAATGTGTCATTATAAACAGCAGGGCTGGAGTTTTATTTTTGATTCATTTGAACAACATTTGTCATTAAATCTTAGCATCTAATCCATTTGTTTAGATTACTGGCTTTATTTTATTTATGCCACTATATCTTTCCACACATTCTGATTTTTTTCTAGTCTTTTATTTCTTTGAGATTAACTGGTAACGTTTTCACATTCCACTTTTATCTCAGTTTTTGAGTTGTTTTTCGTATTTTGTTGGTAGGTGAAGTACCCTTTCTTAGAGTTCATGGTTACATAAAAAATCACAAGTGCTCACTGAATTTATCAAAGCCCAAAGTTAATATTTTTTTTTTGGGGGGGGTACTGGAGATTGAACTCAGGGGCACTCGACCACTGAGCCACATCCCCAGCCCTATCTTGTATTTTATTTAGAGTCAGAGTCTCACTGAGTTGCTTAGCTTCCTTGCTTTTGCTGAGTCTGGCTTTGAACTCACGATCCTCCTGTCTCGGCCTCCCGAGCCAATGGGAGTACAGGTGTGCACCACCATGCCCGGCCCAAAGTTAACATTTTTATTCTTCTCCCAAATAATTACAGGAACTCAGAAAGATTTTAATTCCCAATTTTCCTCTATTCTATGCCATTGTGCTTGTGTAAATCACACTTTTATTATTTCACAAGATGTGGTTGTATACAGTATTGTCCACACTTTCTCCATGTGTCCTTTCTGTACTGTAGAACCCTTGAAGCTCCCATTTCCTCTGAATGAAGCACATTCTTTTAGAATTCCTTTTTTTTTCTAGGGTCTACTGGTGATACACTTTCCCTGTTTTTGTTTGTCCGGAAACGTCATTCTATATTATTATTTGTTGTTGTTTGTAATGTACAGAATTTAGTTTAGTAATTATTTCCTCTCAATTGAGTGAAGCTATAAGTTCACCGTTGCTTTTTTTTTTTTAAAAAAAAAAAAGATACTAAAAGGTATTTTAAGTTTTCTCCCCCTTTTTTATGTGTTTTGCAAAAATGGGTCCACATGGATTTCTTTTTTTTTCCTTCCTGCTTAATAGTCACTGCATTTCATGAAACTGTGGGCTAGTGTCTTTCAATTCTGAAAAATTTTATTCCTCATGCTTTCCTCCCTCCCTTTCTGGAATCCCAGTTAGACGTGAGATTTTCCCACTTCATCCTTCCTGTTGCTCAACTTCCATGTCTTGTTTTCCATACCTGTCTCTCTAGGCTGTATTCTAGGATATATATATATTTTTTAAAATTTACATTTCCATTCTGTCATTCTCTCTCTCTCTGATGTGTTGTTAGACCTGCCCGTGGAAATTTTAATTTCTATTATTACTTTTTCATTTCTAGAAATGCGGGCTGCTGGCACTTCTTCGAGTCTTGCTGTTTATCATATTTCTAATCTTCTCTTATATTTCTAGAAATTAAGCTCAGGCTCTTATTTTGTATTCTAGGCTTGATAATCCTAACATCTGCATTCAGTGTCTGAAAATCCCAACGTCTGAGTGAGGAATCTAATTTCGGTCCCTCTCATTTCCTCTTATGCAAAGTGTTTTTGGACACAAATTGCTCTTTCCCAGGGGAAACTACTGATTTCTCATGCTTTTGTCCCCTTCCTTTTCTACGATCCCTACTAGCTGGATTTTGACCTTCTGTGTATCTAAATCCCCCTTCCATAGTTCCCACCTGTGTTTCAGAAAAGAGCTTTCAACTTTATATTCCGGATCCCAGATGAGAGCTACTACTACCCTTTCCTTTTATTTTTATTTTTTTAAAAATTTTTGTTGGTCACATTTTTAATTCTCAAGGGCTCATTTATTCAGTAATGACTTTTTGCACGACAGTCTCTTTGTTCTTTCTATTTAATATGAATAATCTCAAGTCTTTCTGAAGACTGTAAGTATGGCTGGAACTGTTTTCTTCTCCTTGTGTTAGCTAGACTTCCTCTGGGGTCAGTCCTTCTACCTGGAGCTCAAGTCTATATTTTCATGTTCAAATAACAGGTTAGTAAAAACAAAGGTACCTGGTGTGAATTTCCCATCTGACTACAGTGTTTCTCTAACACCATCTTGCACTAGGGAGGGATGATTTAGGGCAAATGTGTAAGAGGACAGGCTTTGTTGACTAGAAAGCAAGATAAAAGAGGCCCAGGCTGAGAGCCCAGGGCCTCCCCSACTTCTTCACTTAGAAGCACGGTGTGCTTGCTTTGCACATGATGGGCTTGTGTTGATTTCCCTCTTGAGAAAAGAAACGACTCTTCCACCACTATCTATGTCTATATTCAAGGTCTGGTATTGTCTTAGAATGTGTTCTTATATATTGTTCCCAAGTAGGAATTCTAGTCACTTGTCTTTTTTTTTTTTTTTTTAAGATTATCACTGTTTTTTTGTTCTTTGGGGCCTTTTGCAAGGAAATGAGACAGAAAGTGCTGTATGAGAATTAACTAGGGTGGGGTGCATCACTGAGGCAGGGAAAGATGGTCCAGGGGTCCCCGTGCAGCTGCCACCCACACCCATTCTACTGTGGTTTAGAGGAAATCTAGCCTGTCCCGGGACAACCAGAGCTGTCCCTCACCACAAAGGCTTACTCCTGTTTTTTTTTTTTTTTTCTTTTCCTGGGTCATGACTTTCCTTGCTCAGGGTTATTTTTCAGTCGGGTCCTATTTACTTTCTGTTTTCCAGACACTTGGCTAAATGTCTGGTTTGCGGAGGGCAATCTGCCCTGTTCTCAGTGCTGTTGAGGATTGATGTCCGTCTTTACAGCTTGATGGTTCTTCAGTGGGGATTCCGAAGGGAAGGGGAGAAGTGCTTAAACTCAACCCACCACCTGGACGTTGGAAAGTGCAGACACCCATCATCTATATTAATATTTAAACACTCCGTGGGATGTTTTTAGTATCTTAAAATAGAAGCTTGTTAAGCATTGAGAAATTTATCTTAGAAAAACGTCTCACTGGAACCTGTGCCCCAAGCAAAGCCCGACAGAGGTTGGGGTAATTGATCCAACCTGCACATATGGGCACGTTGTTCCCCTCTGCTGACCTTCCTCTACCTGTGCATTAAAATCTTGGAACTTTCCAACACATTTATCTGAGCATCTGTCCTTGCCAACACTTCTTCTTCTCCTGTTCTTTTTTTAAAAAAAAATGTTTAATTTTATTTTAAATTGCATAGTAAAATCATTCTAAATAATGTGAAATTAGACGTTTTTAAAAAAAATTTAAAAAATTTTCTTAAAAAGCATATATTTTTGATTTCACATTAGCTTAATGCACACAAACAAAAATAGGCATCTACTAGCTCCGAGCGGTCTTCGTCTTCAAACATAACTCTATCACTGGGCGCTCACACTCACAAGCAGCTGGAGAAACTAACAAAGCCCTGGTTTTGCAAGGGTGCTTTTAGGACGGGAACAGAGGAGCTCCTGCATCTTTAATGCCCCAGACAACTGTAATACCAATTAATAGTGCCACAAGAGAATGAAAACCGTGCTTTACAGGATGCTCCCTTCTTTGATGACAAAGCCTACATGTTAGCCACCAATTCAGTGAGTAACTTGCTTCCTAAATAGCACAGCCTATTTCTGAATGAGGACATGGCATATATAACTGGCAAGTGGTGACGTTCCTTCGTGGATTCTGAGGCCTTTACCTTGAGGTCTTTGGATTTTTTTTTTTCCAGTGCATTTTCTTTAATTTAGTCAACTCTCTATTTGCCTTTTAGTTCCCCCCACCCCCATATGTACCAGTGACCAATTAACTGTTAATAAAGCATGCTACCTCCTATGATCACTCTGAAATTCAGCATTTTATGGTTTGGTCTTCCTTCTACTGAGTGTGAGCACTCAAGGTCACTCAAGGTCATTCATTTAGGCAATACGTACTTGAGCAAATGGCTGTTTCCTACTTGAACATGTTTCCTGATGACTTTCTTTTAAACCAACAGTCTATTTTTACAAGCTTATCCTCTCCACCCTCCAACCCATCTTTTCCCTGTGAGTATAAAGTTATGAAGAGAAGCCTTTCTTACTTGGATTATTGTGTCCGGAGGATACAAGCTGAGAGTCCTGAAAGAAAAAGAAATATCAATTAATTTTCTTACTTTGATTTTTCCAAACACTAGTTGAAAAGGAGACAGATGACTGGTCATTCAGAACGGAGTCATTGCTCCTAACTTTAGCAGCGACTATAACAAGGCCCGTTTGCATAAATGTGCTTGGCAAGCACATCTGGGAATGCAGATCACAATCACCTTTATTCTGTAGCACTGACCTTATGTTTTGTCTATTGAGGGAAAGGTGACATAACATAAAATCAACCATTTTGAAATGAACAAACAATTCATTGGAATGTAGTACATCCCCAACGTTGTACAAGCATGGCATCTATCTAGCTGCAAAGTATTTCCGTCATTCTAAAATAAAATCTCATGCCCATCAAGCAAGATCTCCCTATTTCCCCTCTCCTCGGCCCCAGCAATGAACAATTTTACCTGTGTCTATTCTGGATATTTCGTGTCAGTAGAGTCATACGACCTAGCTTCAGTCACTTAGCAGTGTTCATTCTTCTTGTAGTATATATCAGCGTTGCATGTCTTTTTATGGATTAATAATATATTTACACATATTTGCTTACCCACGCACCTGTTGGTGGGTACATGGACTGTTCTCATTTGTGGCTACTTGGAACATTGCTGCTGTGACCACGCGTGTGCAGGCCCTTGTTCTAGCCCCTGTTTTCAGTCCTTCTGGGTTATGTGTGTACAAGAGGAATTTTGGGGTCATCTCATGGTAGCTCTCTGAAACTTTTTGAGGAATTGTCAAACTATTTTCCACAGTGGCAGAAACATTTTGGATTCCTACCAGGGAAGTGTAAGGGCTCTAATTTTTCTAAATCCTCATCAACATTTATTATTTTTCATTATAATAATAAAAAACAAAAACCTAGGGACTGGAGTTGTGGCTCAGCGGTAGAGCGCTTGCCTAGCATGTGCGAGGCCCTGGGTTCCATCCTCAGCAACACATAAAAATAAATAAATAAAATAAAGGCATTGTGTCCAACTACAACTAAAAAATAAATATTAAAAAGAAAAACCAAAAAACCTAACCATTCTTGAGGGTGTGAAGTGGAATACCTCATTGTGATTTTGACTTGTATTTACCTAAACACTAACTACGCTGAGCATCTCTTCATGTGTTTATTGCCTGTGTGTAAATCTTCTTCTGACAAATACCCAGTCGAGTCCTTTGCCTTGATTTAATACAGCTCTTTGCCTTTTTGAGGGTGAGTTGAAAGAGTTCTTTATATTCTGGATACTACACTCTTCACAGATATATGGTTTGCCAATCTTTTCTCCCATTCTGTCAGCTTCCTTTCCCATGTATTGATAATATTCTTCGATGCACAAGTTTTAAATTTTGATGAAGTTTAATTTATCCAGTTTTTCTTTCATTGCTCAAGCTTTTGGGGCCATAGCTAAGAATTCCTGGCTGAATCCAAGCCACAAAGATTTAACCCTCTGTTTTCTTTTATGAAATCTGTGGGTTTAGTTCTATATTTAGTCACTGGTCTATTATATTATTGACTTTGAGTCTCAGCCACTTCCTTTTGAAGGCACCTGTACTACCAGCATCTCTGCAGATGAGGCTGGCCCCTCTCCTGCCAGGAACATTGCGGACAGGCTGTTGTCAATCTCACAGCAGTGGGTGAAAAGATTATTACAGATATCCACTTATCTACTCTGATGTAAATCCAGTACTTTGCAGTATCTGAAGTCTAGTTACTACTCAGATAAATGGGATTAAACCTGATTTTATTTATATTAAAGTGATATGTGAATTTTGTCTTGAGAATTCACATCCTCTTTCCTTGAAAGATCCTTATTTGATGTGAAATATAAGGGGGAGTTATAAAATGAATTGAGGTGGTAGGAATATAAAAAAAATAAGTAGCAGTGCATAAAATCCAACAAAACTCCTTTATAATTCTGGCATGTGGAATGGAAATCCAGTGAAATGGAATTACTTTCCAGTATATGGCTTAACATATTTTACCAGAATTTTGCTCTATGAATTCAGTTGTTAAAGGGCAGAGGTATCATTTAATGGCACTTGTGGCATATTCAATTCTCAAGAATAATGTCTGTTTTAAAAAGGAATTCCACTGAAATACTACAGATGAGCCAGTCTGGTGGGCTGGTGGGTGAGGATTTGGAGGAGAAAATTGGGAAGGGATGGGATTCCCCACTCTATCAGGCAGCCCGAGTCATGCGCGGATGCCTAGTAACCCTCTTTCAGAGTGGGTGGTGATGAGCTGTTCAGCTGATGGGAAAGAACAAAGTTCTGTTTTGGAAAGAGTGACATGGAGATGAAATAGTGTCACTGAAGTGATGGCCAACATGGAATCTGCAAAAACGACTCGGGCCCAGTTTGCAGAGGTGCTGTTAGGAAGAAGAGGCCCACAGGCAAGTTCCCCAAGGGCACCAGTGAGTTTCCTTCCTTTCTGGTGAACTTACACTTTATATCTGAACAGAAATCACTTTTAGTTTTCATGTTGAAAATACTTTGAGCCCCAGTGAGTTAGCTCCTCGGTCCTGTCTGTAGATTTTGGCCTTTGGAGGCATCCTGTCCTAGACGGGGAAGACTCACTTGTCACCAATGAGCAGGAACAGCCATGGAGATGGTGCCTGTGTTAAAGCTCATTCTTTTTTTWAAAAAAAAAAAAAAGAAAAAAAATGAAAGAAAGAATAGCAGAGATTTTCCTATGACCTTGCTCACACTAATAAGAAACAGAAATTTTATTCCTTGAAGCATCCTAAAACTCAGGCCTCAGATGATGACTGTTGACAGACTCTTTCAGCAGAGAACCAAAGATATGCTTCCAGACAACCTGCTTCAGTATAACCACTTCCTATAAGCTCACTCTTCATGACTTGGAAGTTCATCTACAATGGGAATTTACTCTTCTCCACCTTTAAATCTGGAAGTCCCAACACCCAGACCCTTCTTTGGCATCTGAGAATATTAAAACTCCTTTAAAGGTGGCATTTAGTTGAGAAGTAAAATTATTTTACAAATCATTTTGCTGAAGACAGAAATAACCAGGCACACTGTTTCCAAGAAAGCCCTTCAATGAAACACCATAACAGATCCCACATTCCATTTAATGTAGCCTGTCAAACTATATGAGGCTGCATTATCTTATGTACTACCCTGAAAGAAAATTGCTGCCAACTAATTGCAGCACTTCACCATTGAGCCACATCCCCGGCCCTTTTTATTTTTATTTTTAAATTTTGAGATAGGGTCTTGCTATGTTCCTCAGGGCCTCACTGAGTTGCTGAGGCTAACTTTGAACTTGCAATCCTCTTGCTTCAGCCTCCTGAGTTGCTGGGATTGCAGGTGTGTGCCACTACACTGGGTTTGTGGGTTTTTTTTTTAAAATTTTGTTTTAGTTGTTGGTGGRCACAATACCTTTTTATTTTATTTATGTGGTTCTGAGGATCGAACCCAGGACCTCACACATATGCAGGATGAGTGCTGTACCGATGAGCCCCAGCCCCAGCCCCTTGTGGTTGCTTTTGAAGCACAGTAGCAACCCAAGGAGGAAGCTGTAAAATAAACTTTCCATCTCCAAACACTTTCCTTCCTACCTCCAGGTGCTCATTCTCCCTGGAGTGTATAAAGAGAAAGGCAGTAGGATGGTAGGATTCTTGTTTCTATGGTGATGCTAGAACAAACTTTAAAAAAACCATCAACAAGAATATTTTCAGACCAGGCCTAACCCACCAGATTCAGCATCCACGGACTGTGAAATGCCCCTGGTTTTGGACATACCCATTCTGGAGAATGGAAAACATTCTACACTTTTGAGTTCTTTATTTGCATTTCAAAACTTATGAGATTGATGCACAAGGAAAGGGGAAAGGGCAAGTAAATTCATTTTCTTTTCTCTTGGTTGAAATACCTGATAATGGCAGCCAATTTAAAGGAGAAGGGTGTTCTTTGCTTTACCAAATTCAATTACTTTTGAGATTTGAAGAATGAGGCAGAAATGCCTCGTAGTGTTTGTCCAGGGAATTGTGATTCCAAATCAAGTCCTCAGAGAGTAGGAAAAAAAAATAACCAAGTTCATTATCAATTGACTTTGCTATATATTATGTCCTTCAATACTCAGACAGAGTGAGGGAATTCTCGGAAGTATTTAGCTAATTAATTTAGTGGTACTGGTAACTCAGAATGCCTAGCAAAATCGACTTTTCCTTGTGAGATCAAATGGTTCCCTTAATCTTAGTAAGGTCTTAATTTCATTGTTTATTAGTCATTTTGGAGAAAGCAACTCAAATTCCATAAGCAATTCCAGCTCAACACATTCGTTATAGTGATAATCTCAAACATTAACAGTCTAATTAATCAGTTTCAATGTCCAGCTGTCAGAATGCTCGTTTGTTGAGATAAAAGGTTAAAGGACGTGCATTTGAGGGATGGGAATGTAGCTCACTGGTAGAGTGTGTGCCTACCCTGTGCGAATTCCATCCCCAGCAACCCCCATCCCCACCAACTAGAGGTCCACTCTCTGGGAAAGTCAAAAACAGTCTTTGGCATAGCCAGAATAAGCACCCCCAAAGATGTCTGTCCCCCATTCCAGGAACCTGCAATATGTACCTGATATGGAAAAAGGTGCTTTGTAGATGTTCTGAAATAGGAGATTATTCAGATAAACCAAATACAATATCAAGGTCCTAATAAGGAAAAGGAGGAAGAGAGAAAGAGGATCAGAGAGGAAAAGAGCAGGGAAGCAGAGGTCGGAGTGACACGAGCCCTGAGTATGGAAGCTTCTAGAAGCTAGCAAAGGATTTCTTCCCTAGAGCCTTCAGCCTGATGCCCCTATGCCCTGAACCCCAATTTAGATTTCTGAAAGTATGTTCCCTTTTCCAACATTCTAACAATGTTCTCTATTTGTATTCTCATTCTTTGGTGGTATGTTCTTAGACCTAAATACACTGAGGATGGTGTGACTTAAGTCACTAAGCGAGTGGTCTCTTGTTACAGCAGAAATAGGAAGCTCACGCAGCCTTCTTTCATTTGTATAAGGTAAATGATCAGTGCTTACGGCAAGCCTTCTATAAAATGGCACTATTAAAATCATGCCATGTTCTGACGCTTTGTGAAATCACTTATTCTTTCTTCTTGGGCAAGGCAAAAAGATCTAAAGGTAAAATATCAACTCCACGCAAATCCTGGCACCCCGGAAGATGTCTAATGGATGTCCTAAACAGGGCACACTTTCCACTGACATCCAGAATTCTGTGTTTTATCCCATAGGATGGTTAATAATGAATGAAAAATAAGAAACTTCCAACTTACTTTCTGTTTTTAAAATCGAAAGTTTTTACTTATATTCAGGTTTCTGTTTGTTAGATCTCTAGGAAGTATTTGTGTTGCATAGCTGAAACCTCACACTCTTTGACCAACATTTCTTTTTTTTTTTTTTTGTACTGGGGATTGAACTCAGGAGCACCTGACCACTGAGCCACATCCCCAGCCCTATTTTGTATTTTATTTAGAGACAGGGTCTCACTGAGTTGCTTAGTGTCTCGCTTTTGAACTCGAGATCCTCCTGCCTCAGCCTCCTGAGCCATTGGGATTACAGGCCTGAGCCGCCGTGCCCAGCTTGACTAACATTTCTTACTACCTGTGCCCTCATTCCTGGCCACCACCATTCACTCTGCTTCTATGAGTTTGATTATTTTGGATGCTACATATAAGTGAGATCATGCAATATCTGTCTGTATCTGACTTATTTCACTTAGCATAAGGCCTCAAGTTATCTATCTATCTATCTCTGTCACATACACACACGACACACACATACATGAATGATATGCAGTGTGTTATATCAAAAATATAACTATAGCTAGTGATACTATATTGTGTTCTTGAAATTCACTAAGAGGACATTTGCTAGGATCACAAAGGGAAAAAAGTGTAACTCTGTGAGATGACAGATACGCTAATTAGCTTGTGATGATTACTTCACAATATATATATAAATACCAAAACATTAAGTTGTTTGCTTCAAATACATACCATTTTTATTTGTCAACTATACCTCAATAAAGCTATAAAAATGAATTTTTTGCATTAGTGATTTAAAATCTCAATTTCACCTCAGGAGTTGTTATTACTTTAGTATTTACATGAAAGAAAACAAAAGGAATTTTGAGAAAGTCACAACAAAGTCTATTTTGGTATGTGCTCAATTATATCAAAACTTACACCATGGGCATATGTAAATGACAAATAAGTTTACTTGATTGTGTTGAGGGTCAGCCATTATTTGGTTCAGGTTACATGCAAAGATTGTAAGGTTTCTTCATTTCATTCTAGGTGTGGCAGGATGCCATTAGAAATCCACGCTGCAGAAATTATCCAAAATTTGCCTGCCTTCAAAGGGCAAGGAGTCTGGGAACTTCAGGTGCATCCAGTTTACACTCCACCAATGAGATGCCCCATTCACTCATTAGCTGTTGTCTGCTAAGCCTGAACTGTTTGCTATCTGATTCTTCACTGAAAGGGTCTTGTCAAATTCTGTTTCTTGTTGAGATGGGGCCTCACTGTGTAGCCCAGACTGGTATCAAACTCGGTGGGCTCAACCAATTCTCCTGTCTCAGCTTCTGCAGTAGCTGGGACTCCAGTCGTGGGCCACCCACATCCAGCTGTCTACCTCTGACTTAAACAATAAGGTATTGGGAAAGAATTCGGTAAATAGGTTGGAAAAACAGAGTAGTGAATCCTGAAACAAATCCACATATTTACTAGAAATTCATCTATAGACATAGCAGGTATTTCAAAGAAGTGGGAGAAAAGTGCGCTTTCCGTATGTTGATAGTGTTATAATAATTAACTAATCTTAAAAAAACCGAAAACTAGAATCCTAAGTCACACCATCCTCAATGTATTTAGGTCTAAGAACATACCACCAAAGAATGGGAATACAGATAGAGAACATTGTTAGAATGTTGGAAAAGGGAACATCATTTTTCTCTGCCATAAAAATTAAATACTTTTCTAGGATAAAAGGCACATAAATAAGGTTACAAAAATGGTGACACTCTATATAATAGACAAGTGAATAAGATATAAGGAGTTCCTACAAATCATTTTTATGAAGTGGCAGTGGATATGAATGGGCTATTTGAAAAGGAAAAACAGTCACTGCTCAAGCTTAGAAGTAATTGGGGAAATGCAAATTAAAACAATGAGATATCAACTTTTCATCCATCATGCAGACACAATGATAAAAACCCAGATAATATTAATCATTGGCTAAGATACATAAAATGGCCTCTTGAAACAAAGCCAAGTGTAAATGGTTTCTGAGGGCTCCGGCGCCCTTGGAATTCCCAGGCTAGGTGTCCTTACTGGGGACAGTCGATAGCAGCAGACAAAGAGGCATTTACAAAGTGTCTGTGGTACCAGAGTGTGTAATTAACAAACCACAGACAATCTCAAAGCCTACCAAAAGGAGCTCGATCGAAGAAAACATGGCAAACCCATATTACCCAATATTTTGCTGCGGTTTAGAATTCTTTTCTTTTTTCTTTCTTTCTTTTTTTTGGTACTACAGATTGAATCCAGAGGCACTTTACCACAGAGCTACATCCCCAGTCCTTTTTATATTTTATCTTATTATTAATTAATTAATTTTACAGCAGAATGCATTTTGACCTATAGCACACCAATGGAACACAACTTCTCATTCCTCTGCCGTACCCAGCTCARCGTCACACCACTAGTGTAACCACACATGTCTATAGGGTAATAATGACGGTCTCTTTCTACCCTCCTTCCCATACCCACAACCCCACCCCCTCTCTGGTTCCCCTCTACACAAACCAAAGTTTGGAACTGGAGAATATCATGCTACGTGAAATAAGCCAGTCCTCCAAGACCAAAACCTGAATGTTTTCTCAGATAAGCGGATGCCGATCCATATTCCGGGGAATAGGGAAGAATGAAGGAACTTATATTTTATTTTGAGACTGAGTCTCATTAAGTTGCCAAGGCTGGCTGGAATTTGTGATCCTCCTGCCTTAGCCTCCTGAGTACTTGGAACTATAGGCATGTGCCACCATGCTGGGCTTTTGCTGCTGTTTAGAAGGATAAAGAGATCTCTGTAGGTTCACTTGGAATGAGCTCCAAGTGCACTTTGCTAAATTTAATAAAACCAACTTAGACTGGAATTCACCATTGTGATAGAAGCAATGAACAATTATTTCAGCAATTCATTCTAGAAGGTTGTGATCTTGATATTTAGCAGTGATATTTATGTATTGTGGCTACTTGGAAAAAAACAAATCCTTGAATAAAAATGTTTTTATTGCTCTACAATGTAAGAGTTTAAAAAAAACTACATTTAAATATGCACAGGGACAACAACTGATACTTATTTTTATGCCACAATCCCAGCAAACACACCAAACTCTTTTTTTTTAAGAGAGAGAGAATTTTTAATATTAATTTATTTATTTTTTTTAGTTTTTCGGCGGACACAACATCTTTGTATGTGGTGCTGAGGATTGAACCAGGGCCGCACGCATGCCAGGCGAGCACGCTACTGCTTGAGCCACATCCCCAGCCCACACACACCAAACTCTTGAGAGTAATCCTTGGGATTTGAAATAGAATCTAACTGGGTTTTCTGGGATTTTCATGTTTTGCTTTCTTTCCATTTGTATAATTTTATCTTAATAATAAACATATAATTATATATCAGTTACATGATTAGAAAAAAATAAAAAAATCCTATTAGACTCATGTATAACTTAAATATAAATATATTTTGTGACTGATATTTTTTGTATACTATTCCTTAAAAAATATAGAAATCTTTGTTTGTTTTTTGATTTTTGTACCAAGAATTGAACCCAGAGGTCCTAACCAACTGAGCTACATTCCTAGCCCTTTTATTTTTATTTAGAGACAGGGTTTCACTAAGTTGCTTAGGGCTTTGATAAGTTGCTGAGGCTGGCTTTGAACTCATGATCCTCCTGCCTCAGCCTCCTGAACCTCTGGGATTACAGGCATGTGCTCGACTAGAAAACATTTTGTAGCTCCTAGAAAATATTTCAAACTTTAAAAAAGATACCCAAGAAAAATTAAATACCACATGCCTCTAATTCTAAGATATTCATTTTAAGATAAAATCAATTTAATAATAGATTTTGAAGAAAAAAAACCCCAGGATATATAATCACATTGAATGCATAAAATGTAAGATGCATTTCAACATCACAAATGTTCTTAGATCATGTTGACAGTTATAACAATCACAGTTTGAAGGATACAAAAGTATAGGTAATTGAGATAGCAAGCTCAATTCCCCCCCTTTGAAGAATAAATAAGTTCTTTTTTAAAAAAAATATTTTTAGCAGTAGATGGATAGTAATGACTTTTATTTATTTACTTTTATGTGGTGTTCAGGATGGAACCCAGGGCCTCACACATGCTAGGCAAGTGCTCTGCCACTGAGCCACAATCCTAGCCCACAAATACATTCCTGGAGATTGCTCAAGATTAGATTAAGGTGCTTTGGGCAGGAATATTTACGTGGGAGAAGCCCACAAAGGGTCAACCGAGGGTCCACCTCCAATGTCTGCATGAGCACAGAGTATTCCCGAGTGATGCAAGAGCTCACCTTATTTGGAAATGGAAATTTGCTTGGTTCCACTTTGCCAGGTGCTTGAACAGCAGACAGTGGTGGAAGCCAGGTCATCTCCTAAAGGGGATAAAGACAAAGAGCATTGAAGGTGAGGTCAGCAGCACGTGCAGAGGCTCCGCAAGCCAGCCTCATCAGGCCAGAAAATGACAGGAGTGAATAAAGGATCAAGGGGGTTTATTATTTTTTAAAGATGTAAAACCCACATTTAGGATCCGCTTTCCTAATTTGACCAATTCTTGTTTCCATATCTATCTCCAGGCTCCCTCTATGCCTAAAAAAGAAAAGCCCATCCTATTTTCTCTTGGTGTGAGCCCCCAAGTAAAGGGACAACCCAGTTCTATGGGAGATGCTCTACAGACTTGGACCCGAATCCACACAATTCATAGGGAGTTTCCGAAGGGAAGCACACATCAATTTTAACTTTAGGGGTCTTTAGTCGGGGAGTAATTATTAGAGATAAAGCTCCCAATAAGTTCCGCATGTCACTTTGGTGTCTATAACTAGGTCATCCATGGAGAAGTGAAAACACCAAATCCCGTGCGTGCAGTAGGGAATGGTGTCACTCTCTATCAGCCAGTATCCAGCGCGCCGGTCGGTCCTAGGTGCAGTATCTGCCATGTGCCTTTTGTGCTCCCCTGTCACTAGCTCTGAGCCAGGGAGGGAGGGGTTGTCTTATTCATTCCCAGTATTCTCCTTCATCTCCTGAAAGACAGTTGCCATCCACAACTGATCACAGGACTCAACTGACTTGGACGGCCAGGAAGTCGATGTGGGGCTTGCAAACAGGGACTGAGCCAAGCAATCAGAGAAGCTGCAGGGGATTCCTGAGCGGAGGACATGATGTCCTCACCTTCCTTTGTTAGGTGGGTGGGGTGTGGGAAAGGATTCACTTGGGACATGAAAGGACAGTCCTGTGCCTTCTTTCTCGGGGAAGCTCCTCTCCCCAGAAGCTCAGGAGGGCAGAACCACACAGAAAGCAGAAGGAAGGTGAGCGAGTTCCAAGCTGCTCTGGGAGGATCTACAGACCCTTCGCCCTCTCTTCCTGGTCATGGCACCAGCTACAGCCAGCAAGGGGGCTAAACACAGAAGCTTTGCAGGTGCCCTTTCTCTGGTCTTGGTCACCCAGGTTTTCCCTGGAAAGCAAAGGAGGATCCAGTGACCCTTTTTGTCCCCCTCTCTTCCCGTCTCCTGCCAATACCTCCTGTCCCCTTGGAGGGATTTTGCAGGGTGGCCATGTTTGTACCCAGAGTGGAATCAGACTCTGTCCATGGAATCAACAAGCTAGTCATCCTCAGCGAGTGGCCGGCCTTATAGAGGCCTTATAGAGGCCCAAATAAGAAAGATATAAAGACACAAACATGCTTTCTTTACTCCCCTAACCTGTCCTTCCTGCAATGTGGCTCTCTCCGGATGCCATCTCTCCTCTTCAACGATGTTTCTGTTTCTTGTCTTTTACTGAAATTGTTTTGCTTAGGATATATATGTGTTTGCTCCAAGTGGCCTCGAATCTTTTGTAGAGGAGATTAGTCATCAATTACAAATGTTGATTTGCAAATTACACTTGAACTGATTTTTCCTTTCCTCTCTGTGGACTGTCTGATGTGTCCCTGAGGCCATCCCACTCACAGCCAGCCACTCCGTAGCTTCCTTTGCAATCATTCTTTGGCTGACACAATTTAGACTGTGTGATCCTCTGGGGCCAGAATTGATAAACACTAAGTAATTACTCACGATTAAACAGTAGCCTTGCAGACACAACCCAAGTATGTCCATGTTAACTTTGCACAAATTATTTTATGATTCCATCTGTGTATCAACATGCCTCATATCTAGTCATTTTATGTTTGACTGCTATTAAAAAAATCACAAAAGACAAACTGCTCTTTTATTGTGTTCTGTAGCTACTCAGAAATAAGTGAATAAGTGGAATAGAAGGCTCACAAAAAAATAGTAGTACTTTCAAAAGGACACTTCCTAGGCCTTCTTACAATTCCTTACACTTTCAGGTTGAAATTTGTTTAATATATACTCTTTATATAAAAGGGAAATAGCAGAACAGCTTTAAGAGTACACTAAGCTATGATCCATGATGGTAGAAATGATGTCCTCCTGGTCTTTGTATCTTAATCCATCCCTGACCACCAACTCTGCCCCTGCAGGAATATTCACTGAAGGTTAACTGTGAGCAGGCACAGTGCTTGTGCCTTGTATACATGAGGTGCTCAACTAAGCCACCGTCTACTGAGTTTGAAAGTTAGGTTATGTTCATAATTAATGCTTATTCTACAGCCCTAGTTATGCTTGTAATCTTTCCATCTCTTCCTTCCTTCTTCTCCTCTCTCCCATCCATCCATCCATCCATCCATCCATCCATCCATCCATCCATCCTCATAAACAAATGCCACAGGAGGGAGATGCCACTTTTGTTTAGCTTGCTGTCCTCTTGCAAATACCCCTTCTCCTTTGAGACTCTGACCATGAGCTTCTTTATTCATTAAAGATGAACTTCATCTCTCTCCCTACTCATCCCACCCTTTAAACTAGTCTCAGGGTCCCCTCCTGCACCCCTTCTTTTGCTCACGACCTTCAAAACATTTACCTATTGACTTTTAAGGGCAAACTTGTAGAAACCCCCAAGCATTCCATGCCACCTTCTCACACTGTTCTTCTATCTCCACTCCACCTCAATTTTTTACAGTCCTGACCTTTGGACTTTTGTCTTCAAGAACCAGAATCTGAGTTCTTCCCACTCTAACCTGGTGGCCTCTCCAACTCCTATTTATCTAGATCATCCAGGAACCTGGCACTCAATTGCTCCTGAAGTCCCATGTCCAATACTGACCACCGAACTGACCTCTTTGCTGGCTTTCCCAAGACCCTCCAGCATGGTGGGAATCACTCGTAGGCCTGGTCCACACTCCCCCAAGTCTCCAGCTTGGGATCAAGCCCTCATCTGGCTCCTCTGCTCAGGGAGGCTGCTGTGCACTGTGGTGGTCACATGGATCTGTGACACTGACTTCCCCAGGAGGCTCTCTGTGTGGCTAGGGCAATCCTGGCAGTTGCTCACCATCGGTCCTTTCTTCTAAGTTCCTAGACAATACTCCTACATTTTGTGATCCTCCTGGAGCCTCCCTTTGATTCTTGTTCTCTCACTCCAGGTGCCCTGGCTTCTTACATGATTGAAAAAGAAACAAAACAAAATAAAACAAAACGGATATTCAGAAGTTTCCGTATTCCCCAAGGACAGATCTGTTGGCCTTCATGGTCTTCATTCGCCACCCCCTTCCTTCCCTCTGACCTGATTGAGGAGGGGCCAGTCCCCGGCAGTCCCAGGTGATCCCCAGGTGGCCTCCATCTTGTCTGTTCCTCTGCCCCGAGATCTGGTTCCCGGGACATCCCACTGATTCTCTTCTAACGTCAACCTTTCTTCTCCCCTGGCCTCTTCCCCGTGAATGACAACCGGAGGCCTCAGCCCTTCCCGATCCTGTATCCCTCCTCTGACCACCCTTTATTTCTCCATTTCRCCTTAATAGCCAACTTTCTCAAAGTGTACCAAGGACTCAGAGGCCCCTTTTTCTAAAAACCTCTCCTCTTGACTTGACCCTGTAAATGTCCAATGGGTAAAAAGCCAGACAAAGCACTTGGCATCTCTGCTTCCATTTTGCACCTGCCTCCTTGTTCTCAGTCCCCTTGGATTCCAGGAACAACAGGTCTGAGTGGTGTGCGTCTTGTGATGAGATGAAACTATCCCCCAGGTGACAGTGACTTTCTTGTCCCAGACAAGGTCTGGCTGAACAATCCTGAGCTCGTCATCCACAGACCAGTTGGGCCAAGACCACTTGCCTCTGTGTATTGCTGGTCCCCTTGGTCTATGGAGTCTGGAAGCTCACATTAGCACCCCCAGAGACAGGCTGCAAATGCTGGTCCCTTGGTCTTTCTGACATACATATACATATATACGGGTTTTCACCATCACTTTTTCCTTTTGCTTTTTGGGGTAGGTGGCTGGACCTGATGGGTTGGGATCTTCAGAATGCCTGGGCCTAGGTCTCTGGTAACAAAAGAACGTTTTCTATCTGTTGTTTTGATACCTGCATAGATTCTTTCCCCTTCCCTTCCTTCCTTCCTTCCTCCATCCATCCATTCTATCCTTCCTTCTTTCCCTCCCCCCTCCTTCCTTCCTTCCTTTCTGTCTTTTCTGACATTATGTAAAAAATGTTTTGCTGTAAACTATGCACATAATTTGTCTATAACAGTGTGTGTAAAAAGTTTAAGAATAATGGAATGGATACCCGTGAATTCACCCCGGCTCCTGGGATGTCTAGTCTCCTCACACCACCTACTACGGTCCCCCTCCCTTACTTTCCTGCGCTGTCTTCTCCCTCACTGTTTAAATGTTGTGTGTTCAGCCTCTTTCCTGCTCCTTTTCCTAGTGATCTTGTGTACTACTGTGGCTTTAGAAACCATCTAGCCTGTGTGTGATGCTCCAGTATGCCCAGCTCCACTGCCCGCCCAGGGGCCTACTAAACCCCTCAACCCAGGTATTCTTTAATCGGTTCAAACTCTACAGCTTTAAAACAGGTCACTAACCCCCCACCCCCATTTCCTCTTCTTGTATTGTATTGTCCTGGTTAATGGCACCAATGTCTATTAACTCTTCCAGTCAGAATCCTTGCGGTCCCCCTAGACTCCTTCCCCTTCGTCACTCCTTCCCCCAGGAGTAACAGTTCATATTGATTAAGTGCTTAGAATATAAAATGTTTTACACAATTTACTTAACATCAGTTCCTAACGACCCTGAAGGTAGACTTATTATTATTTCCTCACTTAAGAGGTGGAGAAACCAAGTCCCTAAGAGGTGAAGTGCTTGGCTGCAGCTGAGACCTCCCTGGCTCTCGTCAAGGCCTGGTTCTCGCCTTACTCTGCTCCTCAGCCCGGGTTCCCTGATCTTGCTGCACTTAGCAGTCAGCAGCCTCTCCGGTCCTCAGGGTCGATCATTTGTCAGATCCACAGTCCCACTCCTCCTTTTCTACGAAGCCTTCCATGGCCAA